GACCACTCTTGAAATGAGGATCGTTTTCCAGCACAAAATCGGAGGAGGGGATAATGGCTTACGACGTGCTGCGGGCGTCGTTAGGGTGTTCACTCTTCAAGGTCGTCCTTCAAGTTGGCATGAGTGTGCGGGCAGTTGGCAAGTGTTTTACTCTGCGTGAGAAAGAAAGAATGATGCAATTTTGATTGTTCTTCCAGGTGGCTGTTCACATCCTGTTCACAGTATTCTGCTGCCGTCACCAAGTTGCAACTAACAAATATCGATTCATTCGAAGGAAGATTTGATCAGAGAGAACACCAAAAACAATGTGATTTTATTTTCTTAAAAGAAAATGTCCACAAGATTGCTGAAAAAACAGCCCACAAGCGGTTTTAACATCTTTTGGCTTATCAGTTAGGTTCCGTCACTCTTGCATTCTACTTGTATTGTATCATAAACGAGAGGTTCAGGTGGAATTGACTTAAGTCCCCCGTCATAGCTAGATTGGCGTGCAAATGAGTGTATTCCGACAGTAACATTGTAGATTTTGGCAGCACCGGAAGCCTCAACTTGTACGCAGTAGAAAAATGACAATCATCAACTCTACTTATATGTCAGAAGAAAAGTGGTTAACAAAGTCTGACATTGTGGCAAGGATAATGAAGTGAATAAAATTGTGGAAAAAGATCGAACGTGGCATCACAACCAAACGGAGAAGAATGCAAAAAATACGTAGCATCGGAAAAAAATTGGGTGTACTTATACAGTTCAGTGAAAAATGCGAAAAAATAGGACAGTATGGACAAGACAGTTTTTAGGGTCAATGGGTTTGAATTGGGGACTTCTTGATGACAAAGAGACCCGAAATAGACAAATGAACTGATCTGCCTTTTCGGAACTCACTGACACATTCACACACGATATCACATAACAAGGATAGCTCTATTGGTCACCGACGATTGCAACTGCGTCGGAAATTAAGTGTCGACGGCGTTGACTTTCTGATGTAGACTGCTGATCAGAACGTAAAGCTTTCAGAGCAGAATTCTCTCCAAAGTCGCGTCATCAACATCATTGACTTTATGGGGTTGATTAATCTTAAGAGCAACCTGAATGTGATCGTAAGTAACACTCTTCCTGGGTTTTGAACCAGGATGTCTACATTTGTAGCGCGAGTTTAGTTTTCCAAACGAATGCAACCTTCGAGAGGTTGGTTGTTAGGTCCGGTGAACGACTAGTCAGCTATTCGACCTTAAAGGAGAACGAAAAAGGATTTCGCCAAATTTATCGCTCTTTGATATTCAGATTGCCATGAGCAGACGTTTCTTCAATTTGGGTGAAGTTTCAATGTCACCAAACAGCTTGGATTGGAAAATACGTTTTTAGTGTTATTTCCAAAATTTTACTTTCACAACCCCCAAAGTATAGTGGTTCAAAAGTTTGTCCTGGTACCACTCACGGGGCACCTCCCAGTCTTGAATTCACAAGGCGGGTGTTTATATGGAATATTGTCCATATAGGCTTGGGATCATTTAATTTTCCCTGCAAAACAAGCACTTTCAGGTTTGATCATTCCGAACAAAACATTCATTAGTACTGGATTATCGGAATGTTTGGGCGAATATGCCGTGGTTTTGGAAGCTAGCTATCATTTACCGGAATGCAATTAGCCAATTGGAGTCGGAAACATGACAGTTTTGCATGCCACAGTTCCTGTTGCCAAATATCTAGCTTAAAAATGTTTATTTCGCTGTAATTTGGCAAAACCATTTGTTATTCTACGTTTCGAAACTACGACAGGATGACGTGCACTGTTTAGTGCTTGCATACCATAGCACAGTAATGCATCATGATCGCTATCAACAATATTGCCAACGACTGAATTCGGACAGGTGCTTGATTATGAGCCGATATGTAAAGAGGTAACAAGTTGAGATTTTTTCATGCGATTACCAAACTAAATTTGAGTGCAGCGATGTGTCGTGTGTCAAATGTTCGCAGCTGGATGACACCAACAGGGGTGAAATAATAAAAACATTTTTGATCAGCAAAGTAGCTACGCAAGTGTTGACAGAACGTTGTTTTGCAACCAAAAATATGGAGAAATTGAGACTACAAGAAACTGAGTTGTGACACTGGTCAGAATTGAGGCGATATTTCTTTATTCGTGGCAAACTTTTTGAAACTGTGCCTTTCAGCGAAAACAATTTCTATTTTTAATTTAGGTAAAGAGGCTTGATGAGTTTTGCTGAGACTTTCCAACAAAAGAGCCTAAAGGGGTTGACATTCAAACGAGAAAAAATGTATCATACAAGCGTTTAAACCTTACGCTCTAAAACTTAATGCTTAAGAAACTGTTTGAGTTTCCCAATAAATAGGCAAAAAGTGCCAAAGCTTCAGCAAAAAACAATTACTTCAATAGTCAGAGTTTGTATTCTACTCGCAGAACACTAAATCCAAGAATTCTGTGAGAAATGAGGGATCTCTTGTGGTGCTATTAAAAATGATCCTTCTTAGCACGACTGGATCCCACAAGGAAGCCTCACGGCCTGATGATCAACGACCACATATACCAAATAAATGACCTGAAAAGGCCCACCAAGAGTGCGGCAATTCACAGGTATCGTTGAAATCTGCGGAAGATACTTGAAACAGATACGTTTATATGTAGAAGTTCACTTCCGACAAGACCGATGTTTGAGACATTTCCAGTGTAGGTCCAAGAATCAACGATTTTCCGCTTATATTTGGGTGCACAAAAACGGTGCACGAAAACTGCTTGACGCGTAGAGATGACGCATTTGGTAGTTCCACTGAAGATACTAGGGTTGCTTTAGTTTGTATATTGGTATATTACCAAGGTTTGTTTAAATTTTCTATGTTTGCAGGTATTCCAATTTTTATGATGTGTACTGTGTGTAAGGAGGGGGAGGCTTTCGCATTTGAACGAATTTTATTGTGCGATGGGATTGGACGTCCGGTGGCGCCGGAAACTTGTCCCAGTGTCCAGTGGCTTCAGTGATTCGCCGATCAAAAAAGAAAGTGCTTAAAAGTCCTCTTTTTGCCATCAGTACTCCTTTACACTATCGCCCCCCTAAAGGCAGTTTCAAGCCCTCCATAAAATCCTACGCAGGTGGTACCTCTGGCTTCAGTTCGACTTCGGACAACTCAGTTAGCTTACAATGGTCAGGATTTAGGCGGTTGAATCAAGTGTAATTTAGCGTCTGAATCTATTTCTTTTCGCGTACATCGGACATGAGAGACTAAATAAAAAGTTTCCAAATTTTGTACGGTTGGGGGTGAACGGCACACAACCTCTATCTGTCTTCGATGAACTGGTAAACACTCATTAGCGGATTAGGCAGGTGTTGACTGGATTCTTATCTGAAAGTAACCTGAATACATGGTTTATAATACAATAGGGCAGCAAATACTGGATCTGGTGGTTTTCCGCCTGACGTCAACAGCAACAAAGTTAAAAAAGTAAGCGCTCAGGTGGGGATTCGGTCATGGGGCCTACCGGATGCATATTTGGTCTCATGTTCAATCATTTTCAATATATAGGGCAAGTAGTTCAAGCATTGAACCAAGCGTTTCGCACTAAATCCCCTTTCAAGAACACAGAATTTTCTAAACCTACCTCCATGGGATTGAAGATATCTCGGAAAACTCCAAAGTTTTGAGGATGATTTCAAATATAAGATTAAATGCACACCGGTACTAAATGAACTTAGAGAAAATAACCTTTGAACTTCAGTCATCGTTGCGAAGCAAGATCCCAGAAAACGTGACGCTACTCTCGGATTTGTAGAGATACTACCTTCAGAACCGCCGAGCTTTAAACGTCTCTCAGTAGTCTAAAAAAACAGAGTCATTAATTTGGTTTACGCTCATCACACCATTTTTTTAAATGACATTCTATAAAGGTGTCGAATAAAACTTGCTTTAGGTCATCGCTCCTCTTGAACACTACATAATACGTGATTCTGATCGGAAATAACATACCTAAAGGTTGGGGAGAAGTTAGCAATGTTGTGGAATGTAGGTAGCTCGGGTTGTCGGTCTGTTCGCCGAGCTTGGCAGTTGGATTGCAAACGTTTCATCACCAATCGAGGTGACATCGTCAGTGCAGGGTTGAG